TCCCACCACTTCTATGCCCTCTTACTCACTCAAGCTGTTGGAGGCACCGCCTGCAAAGTGTGCCACCATCAGCTCCTGGAAACCTCTGGTGTGTCACGGGGGACCCAGGACCACCAGCTGGGTGAGGATTGCCAACCCAGCCTATCACACTGACGGAACTGTAGTCCCTCATTGCGTTGGGACTCACAGCTCAGCTCCACTTGTCCAACCATGAGGTGCAACTCACTGGCTGCTGTCTGGGGCTGTTTGGCAGCCAGACCTCTTCCAGCCAGGAGCAATCATGCTACAGGGAGGGGGCCCAGACTTAAACTTCTCTCTCATTCTTTTAGTTGCATACATCCCCTTCCAAAGGCTGGAATCCAAGGGAGCCCTGTCGCCAATGAAGAGAGCTCATGATGCCTCAGGGACCTCTGGTTGCTGTTGGGAGGCCCATACTAACATTTGGTGGCCTTGAAGAATATTATCTGGAAGGGAGGTATCCAGACAGTGTGGTATCTCGCTGCCAAAGCTTAGTCCAGGAGGCAGAAGATCACCCTCATGAGTTCTTGCTGGTGGAGGATAGGGAGCAAGAACTTCCCTCTGTTCCGGGCTTGCTGAGGTCATTTCACACCATTGTTGGTTGGCCAGCAATCATTTACATAGGGTAAGCTGACTCCTGATTGATTGCCCATGGTTCTGGGTAATCTAGGCTGGTTGTGTTGCCTGTGAAGCAGCAGGATTACCCTCAGTTACCTAATGACTGGCAGAGGGCTCAGCTGCCTGAAGGTGGTCAGCCTAGCACCAGTAAGGGCCAAACAAGCTGCTAAGAAGGGAGATGGAGTGGTGTAGGATTGCTTTTACTTTTGTTTTCAGTAATTATTGAATTTAGTGTTTGGTAGGGTGGAAAGCCATGTGTACATTGTTAGAGATGTGATGAAAGGCACTTTAATGAGCATCTGCCAGACCATTCATTCTCTGGATTTATGGCCCGCAATAGCAGGGAGGAGGATGCTGGTTTCTGTTTCCTGCACCTCTACAGATCCATAAGCTCTCACTGTATCTCTGGCACCTCTGTGGGCCAGAATAGAACATGTTCTGTGTTTATGCTCCCTCCTTTCCTCTTAGTAAACCTGCCAGGACCACGGCTCATAGAGGACTTCAAGTGGTATGTGCTCTAAACAGGCTTTGAGGGACTCCTTGTGGCCCTGGGAAAGCAGAGGGAACAGGTCTCATCCACGCTCCACAAGCTTATACTCAGTTAAGTGAGGAGACTAGCCTGTGCAGAAATACTGTGAGGAAGGGTTCTGAGCCTGATGAAAGCTGGTTCTGTGGAGTAGAAAAGAGGGTGCTGGCTGGCACATCACATAGGATCTGTACCCAGTAGCTTTGCTCTCTTTAGGGTAGACAGTTCCTGGGTTGCCATGAGGTGGGCACTTTGAGGGGTGACTGGAAGGGTGACTGGTGACAGACTTCCCTGGAGGCAGTTTATGGACCTTTCATGGGAAGAGGTTCCACGCTGAACAGCAGTGAAGTGCTGCTGTGTTTTGCAGCATGTCTGCTTTCTGGGCTTAAAGCCCTTTGGGGTGGCCTGGTGCTCTCTCAGTCCCTCCTGCCCCAGAGATGTCCTGAGCCTTCCTTGGCGTAGGCAATGTCCCTCTCACAGGGGACACCCTCCAGGCATGTACCTGAAGACACAAGTGAGGTAGAAGACAGGGTGAAGCAGGGATTATGGGTGAGAAGAGGGTAATGGTCAGCACATACATGGGCAGCATCTACTGTGGATTCCCTGAAGGATGGAGGTGCTGTAGGGCTTAGCTGGACTGTGCTGCACTGTGCTCTAGCACAGACAAGACCAGCAGGGCTACTGGCTATGGCTTCATCTGTGAGAGAGGGGGTGGGAAGTCCCACATTGATTACTAGGGTCCCACATGATCTGGAGGGCTTTTACCCAGCCCCGCAGTGAAGTTTTCCACAGCTTCCTGGGGAGATGTTATTGCTCTTGGGAAGGACAGTGCATGTGCCTGCATCAACCCTGTCATTATCTCAGCCTCTTCCTGGGTTGGGCACTGTCAGATGCTCTTCCTCCTCTTCAGCCAGCTCCAGAGTTGATGAGCATGAGCCCTGGAAAGCTGGCTGTGCCAGATTCGTACCAGTCTTGAACTCGGACTCACCTATTCCACTGTGTTCACTACCATGAAGGATGTCTGTAATGCTGTTTGCTAATTGGTTTACCCCATGGTGGTCACCACCTGAGACACCTATGAGAACACCACAGCAGGATGTGCCCAGCTAGGCTGAGACTGTATAAGGGACAGGCAGGTTGGATGAGGGCTGTAATTTGTGTAATCCCAAGAGGAAGCTGTTGGCTCTACACCACAGTCTCTCCAGCTGTGTCAGCCTGTCCATGCACACTGATATGTGTGTAGGAAGTGTGCATAACATCCATATGTTTTGGGAACCCTATCTATCAGCTGGGACAACTGGGGACTCAATTTCTGCTACTCTGACCATGCTGCATCCTGCTTTTGTTATCGCAAGTACTGTTCAGCTCCTGCTACCATGATGTTGTGTGACTGTCCCCTGATGGCCTGGTGCCCATGGGGAGCTTATGTGCACCATCCATTGGGGACAGCTATCTGTCAAGTGTTCGTTTGGGTACCTTAATGCCTGCTAGTGTGGCATAAATAGTCCTGGCAGCAGGGCAGTGCAGGGGATTTCAAGCAAGCGAGTGTTGTTGTTAGTCTTTGACTTGTAATGATGCTCATTGTGTCAACCTCGGTGAGGCTTATTTTGGGGCGTCTTGTAATTAGGGATTTCCTTATGGAGTTAGGATACATGCTGGGGAATTTGAATTTATGCAGAGGATGTATAATCCCAGTTCTGAAGGAGCATTTTATTTCTGCAAATCGAACTAGATATGAGTCTTTCCCAGTCATGTGCACATGAGCAGACCTAAGGAAACAGAACAGAATAGCTCAGTGTTTTTAATGAGCCAAGCATGCAGACTGATTTTGAGCATCTGTAGGATATCAGAAGTCTGGATCAGGATTCAGGTATTACAACAGGGCTTACTTTTTCATAGTTCCCACCAGACTGCATAGCAGAGCTTTGGATTTTGACACTAAATTTGGGGTTCCCATCCTATTCTCTAATCTTTGGATCTCATTCCTCTGATTTCCTGCTG